ACAGACGTAAAACGGGGAACGTTGCTAGAAAGAGAGAGAGAGAGAGATAGAGAGAGAGAGAGAGAGAGAGAGATAGACATGAGGAGACTGGGACGGTGTTGAACACTGTTTTATGCGCCTGTAACTGACAACGGTTTGTGACCAACTGTTCATTGAAATGTCTTTAACAGCAGACATAACAGTAGCTGTTAAGCATATGCTTCCAACTGCATACTTAGAATAGTAAGAGGTCCTGTCATTCAGTTTGTCTGCTGTTCAGTTAGTTTTCTATATAAAGATTTTCAAGTCATCCATTATAAGCAGCTTTAAAAGTCATTTGTTGAACAAAAATGATTAAAAGCTAATCAAATGAAAACTTATTTAAATTTGTTAAATTAAGTGCTTTTTTAAATTCAAAGTAAGATAGATTAATTCTAATTTTGGCTAAATCGGTGTGAAATCAAGTTGGAGCTCGATAATATAAGTTTGGGGCACATTCGGGAGATTCTAAGTATTGCAAGCAAAGTAAGATAGAAGCATATTACTCCCTAATAGGTCCAATCTAAAGAATACGATAGATAAAGATGAAACACCCAATAGATGGACTTATGACTTACTGTGTTAGAACACTTTCATATTTGTGTTTGTCTGTTCCAGATACAATAGAGATTAAAACAATAGAGATTCAGATGAATTGGCAGAGCTATTCAGACTAAGCTCTTAAAAGCTGCATTAAAACTATTATTCATTGCTAATACTAGTTCCCTGACTAGCTTCGAAACGGCGTAAAAAGTGGGATGAAAGGAATTAAGGTTGTCGTCAATTTTTAATCTCGAAACGAAATGTATTTAACGCAAACCCCTGCCTGCACTCGGAATAAACAAATGTTGTATATGAGTAGCCGGCCATTTATAAATCAAATGCTAAGCTAGTTCAATCGTAAACGCTTCTACGTACAGGAAAATATAAAAGAGATGAGCGTTGATATCTGCGCATTAAAATTTTTATAGTGCCGCATCGTTTTATAACCATGCAACATATATAAAAATATAAATATATATGTACGCGTGTGTGTGTGTGTGTATATTTGTAGTATAATCGTAAAAATATATACTCGTAAGCTGTGAATGATGCGCACTATGCGGATTATGGCCCAAGCCGTAATATAAACGAAAATAATAAATAAACATAAGAATTTAAAGTCGACAAATAGCAACAACAAGAGCCACAAATACGATCAGCAGTCAACACTGAGCAAAATAAAAGACAAAAAGTACAACAGAAACAAAAACAAAACAAAAAAAAGATGCACTCAAATTTCACTCCATTTATCACAAAATCCATCAACGACAGTGCCCGGCACGTCGGCCAGAGATTCCTCAGCGCCTCTTGTGCCTGTCCCCCCATCTTCATTCTCAGAGCTATTTACGTAAAGCCGGGAATGTTCCTCACAAGCAACTCCTTCCTGATTGCAGTCCATGCCTTGAACCAAGCGCTTGGACTCAGCTCTGCTCTGCTCTGCTCAGTTCGGCCTTCTTGCTGAGTTACTTGAATTTGATTTTGATTAATCGTCAACGAAATTAAGCGGAATTTGTTGTTATTGTTAGTTGATGGAAGTTGCTTTTGCTGTGGTTTTCGTTTTCGTTTTGTCTGGCAGGAAGCTGCATTTACATATGCACATACATGTGTGTGTACATCTTTGTATCTCGCAGATACATTTCATTTTATTCCATTTGTGTACACTTTTGTTATTTTTTCGCCGCTCATTTGCGTGCCATTTCGTTCGCTGTATTTTGACAAACATCAGCAGCTGCCTTCCACAGCCTTCGTCCACTGTATCTGTACGTGTATCTGTCAGATACATTGCCGCTCAGTCACTTTCACGCGCCTCCACGTCAGACCCGTTCTTAACTCTCATGTCGCAACACATGTGTGCACCACACGCTGCGCTCTGCATACAGGATATGCGGCTGCTGCATTCGTTGCCCCACAACAACAACAACAACAGTAACCACCACTCTTTGACATTTCCAGCGGGTCACATAAGGTTCGTTGTTTTGCACACTCCACAATATTGGCTCGAAAGCCGAAAAACTGCAGCGAAAGCCGTCAGCAAACGGCCGGCGGCCCTCACGGTCGCCAATAAAGTAAAATAAAACAATATTTTACAGTAAAACCATTGAAGTTGGCCAACAACGTCAATACTTAAACGACCTAGATACGTTTTTAAATGAACTATCAATAAGTCTGTGGGAAGCAGACATTTTAAGGAAACGCATTACTATATATTCTATGAGGGTTTTCAGGGTATTTATGAGAGTTTATTCCTCTTTACAATCGATTTCTTCATAGGGAACATTTTTAAATTCAAAATATATATATAAATATTTAACCAAAAACATTTATATTATATAATGCAACATATTTAATAATGAACATTTTCTTTTGCGAACTTAATTCTTGACTGATGTAGTGAGAGTATTCTATACCGATTGACTATATTATATGGATCTCGGGATAGAAGAATAGCTCGGAATATCATTACTATATGTTCTATGGGGATTTTCAGGGTATTTATGAGAAACTAGAATATTTATTCTAAAACATTTCCATTAAAATGCCACATATTTCTTAAAAAGAACATTTTCTTTTGCAACCCTTATTATTGACTCATATAGTACGAATATACCAGTTGGATATCTGGCTAGAGAAATCCCTCCGAATAGCATTACTATAGGTTCTTTGGGCGTATTTATGAAAGTTTATTTATTCCTATCGTAAGATAGACCGAAACATTTGTAAATTAAAAGAACAGACATTTTCTATCATTGGCGAACTTTATTCTTATATTACGAGTATAAAAATTGGCAATATTATATGTATCTCTGGCTAAAGGAATGGCTCGGTGTTGTGCCATTGGCAGACCTAACTGTACCTAAAACTATATTACGCGACGTTTTGCTGAGCCCATGACCACGCCACGCACGAGCCGCAAATCAATGACCTCTTTTGTGTGAAATTGAAATGAAAATAAAACGAAAGGTAAGTATAAACGAGAATTCACGAAATCGACAACTTGGCATTTAAATAAATTTAAAAATAAATGCTCTGCATTTCGCCGCTGCGCGTTAATTAGTTACATTTTTATTTGTATTATTTGTTTTGCCAAGTCAGCGGAATAGGAACACAACTCTACGAATGCGTGTTAAACACAAATATATAACATTACGCGACTGCCGACGATCTACTCGAACTAAGGCTGAACAATTTATGTAAAAATATGCCAAATGCGTTGCATCATAAGTGGCGGCATTAGCTCTGTTTTCTCGTATATACCATGCATGTAGATACTACGTGCGGCTGCAACCAAATGAGCGGCAGAAATCGCGCGCAAAACGCGTCGGCGTTTAAATGCAACAACAACAACAACAACCACAGCAACAAGGGCTGGCCTTAGCTCAAATCGCTGCCGTCACTCAGAAGAAGAAAGAAATTTGTATGCAGGTACCTAGGCGTTTATATATACACATACAAAACGTTCATATAGTATATACATACAAGTACATGAACATTGTATATTTATTTTGATGTTGTTGTTGTTTTTCCGTTTATTATTATTACTATTTTTGTTTATTTAAGCGCCCGCTCGGCGCACGGACGCCTGATAAGATTGGGCTTGGGCAAGCCTTATATGACTATGCATGTGTGTATCTCTAAATTAGTCTAGTGCCTGGCACACACACACACACACACACTCACACATACAAGCTTACTCTTATCATAGACAAATGTGGCTAGAAGAAAACACAAATTGTTGTTTTTCCACGAAAATGTTAAACTGATAAACATTAAACATCATAACACTTTATAATCGAAGCACACTTTGTGAGAGTCCATAATACTATATCTATCTAGTATGTATGTACTATATAGTATACGTACATTTATAATTCCCGACCGACTTACTTCTGGGCAGCGAAGCTCAAAATTTCAATTAAAAATCTGAAATATTTTAAGGCGCATTCGGCGAGTCGCTTAGATAAAATGCTTTTGGATCTGCCCGTCATACATATGGTTTGTTTCCTTTGTTTTCTGTAGATACGAATGCCTGTGCCTCTGGCCGGACTGCCTACCTTGCCCACATCACATCATCATGAAAAGGTGTTCTTTTTTCGGCTGTTCTGCTTTCTGCTCGGGATTTTAATCTTGTCTGTTTGGCATTTGTTGCGATTTGTCATGGCCAGGCTCGCCCGCTCACTGACTGACTGACTAAGGCGATTGGCTTCGACTTGGCCCGCCCGTGGCGAATTTATTATTGTGAGACACAAAAGCAAGACAGCACGAAATACACAGACACACCTACACACACATATATTTATGTATAAATAATATGCGTGCGTTTTTAAACGCGCACAAGCCGCGCGACTCGCCTATTTAACGCATCGCTTAACCCGCACACTCGAAATCTAACGCTCAGATGCGTATCAAACAAATGAAATGACAACCAACAAAAGGCATAAAATATGTATTCCCAACACCAAACCAAACGCTCCACGAATGCCTGCCACAATCAAATAAAAAAAGAACAACAACAATAAAAAAAACTGACAGCTGATCTTTTTTTGGGCTCCCTCGCGGGTCGAAACTTACATACCTGCCTGCCTTTGCGCGCCCATAAAAAAAAGAAGAAAAACAAGAAAGAAGAGGGGAAACGTGGCAAAGGAAGAAGGAGTCGCACAGCGCATATTTAAGGCTCTCGAAAAACACCAAAACGCAATTAGAAAGAAGAACAACAATAGCAAGGCAAAGGCATGAAATGCAATTGCAGGATATGCCCGAGGATTTGTAATATGAGCTCTGCATACTTATGAGCCCTTTTCAGGGGCCAATCCTAGTCAGCTCTGGCGGAGAAAGCCAATGGGAGACATTCCAAGTATACGCGATCAAAGTCAGGGCTCATAACACAAGTATAAGAGACGAAATGCAAGAAAGAAAAAAAGAAATGTTATATTAATATTTACCATGAGCCTTCTTCTTTCTGGATTTCGGCGCCATGTCTGGCCGTGTGCAGTAAGAACAACAAAAGCAACAAGAACGAAAACAACAACAGCGACGTTGATGATGATTTTTATACTAGCGGCGGGGCTGTGGCAATGTTGCAGCAATATCTACAGTCTCTTGGCCCCTTCTGCTGGTTCGCCTTCTTCTTCCTTCTAGCCCGCTGGTCTCTGGGTGTTGAGCCAGTTGCTGCCGCTGCCGCTGCAACAAAACAATAAACGCGACGGAGTCGAGAGTTGGCGGCTGCTTCCAACCACAATAAAAACAACAAAAGCACAGCACACGATCCCCACTTGCTGCACCTTCCTCTCTCCCTCTCTCTCTCTCACTCTCTGTATATCTGACTTGCTGGCTGACGGGCTGGCTAGCTCGTGGCTCGCTGGAGAACTGGATTCGTTAGCTTTGCTCGTTCTTGTTGTATTTGTAGCTGTTGTGCTTGTTGTTGTTGTTGTTTATTGCGCCCGTTTCAAACTACGTCGGTCAAGCCGGCGACACCATGGAGCCCAAAGCCGCTGCAGCCGTCTTCTCTTTTTACTTCTTCTTTTGTTTTGCAAAAATTATGGGTTTTGGCAAAAACTTGATCCTGCCTGCCTGCCTGCCTTCGCTCTTCGGATCTTCTCTGTTGTTGCTTCTCTTCTCGTTGTTGTTGTTGCTGTTGTTGTTGTTCGTGTTCTGTTCTCGATGCTGTTGTCGCTGTGGTGTGAGCGCGTGATCACATTGATTATAATTATATACGAAAGGTGGCAATACAAATCAGGTGAAATTCAATCCAAAACGAATATCCTGCGTCTGACTCCGTTTCCTGTCTACGCGCACTTTAATTCCACGCGTTTTACACGCGTTTTTCTTGTGCTTGTTTACAAACGTTTTTCTGCCTATGCTTATGTTGATTAGTTTTAGTGTTTCTGTTGTTGTTCGTTTTATATGCCTCTGCGTTAATTATTTTGTACTATTTTAGTAGAATTCTAGCTCATGCTTTTGGCAGACAATTTGGCATTTCACACAAACACGTTAGATATAAACACACACACGCAGATACGAATTTCTTAAATAAATATTTGTGTCTTTCATTAGTTCTCGAGCGTATTTTTAGCGCTTTTTGACTACAGTTTTAAATAGCAAATAAATCTTCCACACTACTTTTGCTGCCACTTTTCACAATTGCTGACTTTAATATTTCTTTTTCGAATCTCATTACAGAATACGCTGTTCATGCACTCGGAATTCTATATCTTTGCGCATCTGTGCATTCAAAAACAAACGAAAAACGAAAATGCTAGCGAACGCGGAGCGGATACGTCACAACACGCGTACGACATATCAGGTACTGAATGTGCAACAGCTAAGCGATCGGATCGTCACCAGCCAGCCAGCCAGCTAGGCAAGTGGGCAGCTCGGTCAACACGCAAACACATACACATGCACGACGCTCTCGCGCTCACCCATTCTCTCGCTCAGTGCTGGGTTTGTGGTTTGCGCGAGCGCAAATGGCCGCTTGTTGGCGTTGTAGTCGTTGAAGAAAAGAGAGAGAGAGAGAGAGAGAGAGTGAGAGAGCAACAGCAATGGTTACCGGCGGCACTGCATTGCTTGCCTGCATGCGCGTTTCGGGCGCGACTAAAAGCGCTAATACGTTTGCATGTATTCCTTCTCTCACACTCTCTGCTCCATTATTGTGCTCCACAACACATTGTTTTCTCATTTGGGAGCAGAGTCGCGTTCTTGTTTTGACCACGCTCACTTGAAATTCAAGTTTTTGATCTTTGTGTTTGTTTGTTTGTATGTATGTAGGTGCTATCTATATATGGGTTCTTAGTATCTTGATTTTTATTCGTATGTGTAGCATCATCGTCGTCGCCTTCGTGGGTCGTCGTGCGCTCGTATTTCTCTGCTGCTTATTATAACTGACATATCTAGATACAGCTTGGGCTGCCCTTCGGATAATGCTATAATGGTTGCGGCCCTTTTGCATATGGCCAAAAGCGACCAACTCCTCTGCTTCCCCTTTTGCGAACGTGAAAAGCAACAACAGCAACAACAGCAGCAACAAGAGGAGTAACACTTTTGGTTAAATTTGTTAGCGGCAAACATGTGATTAGTGGCAACACCATTGTAAGTAATAGGGCTTCGCTTAATAGCCTTTGCGCACGTAAAACGCCTGCAGGTCGACGCTGCCCATCCACCGCAACACAGATACATACTCGTACTACCATGCCCATTAAGTTGGCCCTGGACGCGACTTAAATATATCATTACGTCCACGTCCGTACAAATTGTGCTTTTCAATTATGTCTAGCAGCTTGGCTCGTCAGCTTCAGCGTCAGCTGCCAGCTTCATCTGTCAATCGAAATATCATTAAGGGTCCAGTCGCCGAACAATTGACTGTGATTTTTGGCCAAACTCATTAGTCTGGCATCGAGCTATACGCGCACGGTAGTCCCGGGCTGATTATATGTTTATGACACGCGGTCGTCTTCTACCACCACTACCTGTAAAACGGTTAACACCCGCTTAGGTAGTATCGGGACTCAACAATGTAACAGCTCCTTAGTTGTTGGCTACAAATGTGCATTATTTCTATTTTGGCATTTTGAGAGCGCTTTATCACAACACTTCCCAGAAAATCGTTCCACCGTACTTATCGCATGCCGTGACCTCAGCCAGTTCGTATTTTATGGCCAATGATAAGCGCAGCTCATTCCAGCCCAGCTTTTACTAGCCCAGCCCCTAGTGGCCATTCTCTAAACACTGCCCCAGCCAGCCTGCGCGTTTATTATCGCGCACTCGCCCATAATTCATTTCGGGGTCTGCTCTTGTTTTGTCTAGCCAGCGAAATCTCTGAATTCCAAGACCCCAGAGCAATCCAACTTCTGCTTTTAATAATAACATAAGATCGTTGTTGTAGCTCTGCTGCCAGGGCTGTTGTGCCTCGCGAGGTGTGATTTCTCAAGTGTAGGAGTCATGCAGCGCGCGGTCGCTGAACAAACCATACCCTGCCCGTGGCCTGTGGTGCACAAGAATCTTCCAGCCAGCATCGAGGCATCAAACAACAACACCAAGAACAACACGTCCATGGGCTGCTGCTGATGTTTTTGTTTTCATTTCTTTCCCCATGCATTCATTGTCCACAACAGTAGATACTGCTGACGAGAAACATTGTCCAAAGTAACAATAGCAACTAAAAATTATAATAATAATAACAAAGACATGGCTTTGGCATCTTTCGACTATTTTGGTGAAACATAATATGAAGTTCACAAATGGATTATCTGTAATAATACGTATGTAGTAAGGTTTCAGGAACCCCAACCGAGTGGAATCTGATCTACATTTCATCAAAAGCAACAATTTCCAAAATGAAATATTCTCAATGGCATCAAGCGAAACTAGATATTTACCTATAAATTTGAAATGATAGACTTCTAAACTTATTCAATATAAGACAAATACAGTAGAGAGATGAAACTCAATAAAAACACAATTTCTAGCTAACAACAAGAGAGAACGCTACAGTCGAGCAAGCCCGACAGTGGAATACCCTGTACCCAGGTAAACTTGCGTCACTGAGTTATATGCGCCCATAGCAGCAGCAAAAAGAGGAAGAAGAAGAGCGAACTTGTTGCTGCTGTTTGTGGGGGTTGTACTGGCGAAAATTTGTTTTGCTAATAACTTTTCTTAGAATTTACCGAATTGAATAAAATTTTGAACAACAATAGACAATTATATATAAATTATGTGTGCAAAGTTTGGTTTAGGTAGCATTTGAAATGTGGACGCTATTGACGAAATTCTGTAGCGGGGGAAGGGGAGGAAAATTAAAAAAAAAAAAAATAAACTCGTCCTTACTCGGACCTAGGAGAATCTGGATGCCAACTTTGGTTATTCCAGCTTTTATAGTTTCTGAGATCCTTGCGTTCATCCAGACGGACGGACAGACGGACGGACATGTCTAGATCGATTTCTCTCGTCATGCTGATCAAGAATATATATACTTTATGGGGTCGGAGATGCTTCCTTCTGTATGTTACATACTTTGCACAAACCTAATATACCCTTTTTACCCTACGGGTACAGGGTATAAAAATATCTCTTTCTTATTTATTAAATATCGTACTGGAAATTAAAGATCCAATTTCTCTTATGTGTCATATTAGCAATAATGGAATTATTTATGAACCTATAAATGTTCTCCAATATTTTATTGAATTTTTACCGATTGCAGAATCGAATACAAACAAGATAGAACGCTACAGTCGAGCAAGCCCGACAGTAAAATAGCCTGTACTCTCCACAAAAAGGAAAAATTAAAAAAAAAAAAAAATTTAAAAAAAATTAAATTATTAAAAAAAATGAATGAATGAATTAATTAAAATAATTAATTTAATTAAATTAGAATACATGTTTATGTTCAGTTTAAACAGCATACATTTACATCACGTACCTATGCGTGTTCATATGCGTGTATGTATGCAGCACAAAGTTGAACAAAAGCAGCAACAACAACAACAGCTGCGGGCAGCGCTGCCGACAGAGCTGCAGGCAGCGCATGAGCAGCGATTTTACTTATGGCTATAAATTTCTTCAGAATTTACCTATCATGATGAAATTTGGCACACGGACACATTAGTACTAACTGGATGTACCTACCAAAATTGATTTTTAAATTCCGAGAATTACGGAAGTTATAAGAAAAAATACGAATTGCGGGGGAGTGGGGGGGTGTATCAGAAAAAATAAACAAACTCGTTCTGCCTAGGGCTTATAGGAACCTTGATACCAATTTTGGTTATCCTAGCTCTTGTACTTACTGAGATCCTTGCGCTCATACAGACAGACGGACAGACGGACAGACGGTCAGACGGACAGACGGATAGACGGACATGGCTATATCGACTCGTCTTCTCATCCTGATCAAGAATATATATACTTTGTGGGGTCTGCCACGCCTCCTTCTGTGTGTTACATACATGCGCACAAAACTAGTATAGCCTTTCACCCTTTGGGTACAGGCTATAATTATAATAATAATAACAAAGACATGGCTTTGGCATCTTTCGACTATTTTGGTGAAACATAATATGAAGTTCACAAATGGATTATCTATAATAATACGTATGTAGTAAGGTTTCAGGAACCCCAACCGAGTGGAATCTGATCTACATTTCATCAAAAGCAACAATTTCCAAAATGAAATATTCTCAATGGCATCAAGCGAAACTAGATATTTACCTATAAATTTGAAATGATAGACTTCTAAACTTATTCAATATAAGACAAATACAGTAGAGAGATGAAACTCAATAAAAACACAATTTCTAGCTAACAAAAATATCTCTTTCTTATTTATTAAATATCGTACTGGAAATTAAAGATCCAATTTGTCTTATGTGTCATATTAGCAATAATGGAATTATTTATGAACCTATAAATGTTCTCCAATATTTTATTGAATTTTTACCGATTGCTGAATCGAATACAAAAAAGAAATTTTAATAATTAATAATTTAATAATTTTAATATATATTTATGTAACTGCTTCAAATAATATACTAATTAGTATGGGAAAAATATGAAACCATATTTAATTATTATTTATTATCAATCAAATATTTGAGACTTCGGCTTTACATAGTATATTGTATCTTTGTGAGACGTTAACATCTTCTAATAAGTACTTAGGAACCATTTTGTCTAAAGTTAAAAGTTACGAATATTCTTTTAATATTAATTTATTTCGACATACCATTGAATTATTTGATGATGTATTGAATGACGAATTGAAAAACATTCAGGCAATTCAAATTTTTGTTATAAAATAGTTAATAGGCAGTCCTTCAATTAAAACACGTATCAAATATTACTACATATAGGAGCCTGCCAACCCTTGCTTTGATCAGCAAACATATCTTCAACTTATCTCATAAGGTAATCTTCCGGTTAATTAAAAAGATTTTCGAGCTACTTTTCTATGAGCTTCCTGAGAATTACGTTGTTCGTAAGTACTACATAAGCATGAACTGAAGCGCAAAAGAGCAATCTGATAAACATTATTCAGTTTCCCATCTTTACACCTTTTTAAGCCCTGTTCCCAAAGTTTAGTTCGAATATTTGTATATAACACCCAGAATGAGTCGTGGCCGATCATTCAAGATATATACGAGTATATTCTGGACCAGTGCTACATAGAATAACAAACCTTGAACAAACCTGAACAAACCTACTTTATAACTACACCGCTGGATAAATGGTGTTGAAAATTCAAGTTTAAAGCAAGAAATTCCCTTAAGG